AAACTGCATGAATTCCCTCCGTCACCAGAGTTGGTATGGCATAGCAGTGCCATCGGATGAGTTTTGACCACATGACCATATGCAATGTCGCTTCATGGCTCAAGCTGGTCTGAGTGATACTATTTCACAAAGTCACCGCAACTCACCTGCAATATGTAATGTCAGATCATGTCACTCAATTAAATCAAGGTGGCAGTGGGCTGCTGTCTGAGCATGTAGCTATGCTAGCTTGTGCCCATTCTAAGGTCAATTCGATCTTTCAGCCCACCATTTGCCTTCGGACTGACGAATAGCTTTGATTTGCACTGTATGCTATGCAACTACGATGTTCGCATATACTCACCCGATCGCGACTCTCGACCGGACGTGCAGGAGGATGATTGCATTCTCGAAGTGCCCTTGGTTCGCTGACCCTGACTGGAAGCTGTACTGCACCGTGAGTATTGTTCCAACGGGTACTCTGCAGCATACATTCGGGTATATCTCCTGACCTAACGTGTGTCCGAGGTCATCATCCGATGACAGCTCGGAAGATGAGAACTACCGCAAGAAGCTCAAGGAGTGCTGTGTTTGCTGCAAGACAGACTGCGAACGACTGTGTGTGATTGCTTGGCCAAGGTCTCATCGATCAGGGGTGGCGCATCGTCAAGTACTGGGCTCAGAAGACCGTATCCCGACAGTGTCTGGTGTTGGCTTGCTTGCTGTGTATGCAACATATATGTATGCTGTGCATGTGTGACAGCACAAGAGTCAAGGGTGAAGACGAAATTCCCCGTACCAGGACTACGGCGCATAAGTCAGCGAAAAGACTGTTGTGCTTCTGTCAGTTGTGCAGCAGGAAAACGCAAGGGCCGCAACTACGTCTGTGTCGCAGCGGCAAAGACCAGCACAGGGGTACATGAGTTGCGGCGTAGAACGTGTCAATCATGATTTGTTGCAACTGGCCTGCATTCTGTAAGGGAAGCTGGATAAGGACGGCCGTTGGACAAAAACTCTGCTACTGCCTCGGGTTTCAAACTATTTTGGCATTGTGCATCTAATGCGCCTCTGAGGTGTGGCAAGACCAATGGTACGGTGCGTCCATACGTTGCATCAAGCGACAACATGTGGGTCTCTGAGTACCAAGCATGACGATACGAGTAGTAGTTCTTATCATGCATCGGACACGCTACGATGTGATCTAGGAGTCTCGCTGCTGCTTCCGGGTCCGAGACGGCCATCGACCCGTGATGGCCTCAGTTTCTGAGCAAGAAAGTACGAATGACAGATTTTACCACACCAACACGATGTGTCATCTGGTCTGCTTGGTCAGGCCAAATGTGACAAGTCCGCCGTCAGAAAGGGCAGCACGGACGCTCCTTGACATGGAGTGTGGAACTGAGTTCTTATCCTCCGTGAGGCTTTGTCGTAGCAAATGTTGCTGGCGTTATGTCTAATGATTAGTCTAATGGCCTTCTGAGGTGTGGCAGTACCAAAGGTACGGTGGTGCGTCCATATGTTCCGTCAAGCGACCAAACGTGGGTCTCTGAGTGTGCCACGTGACATTACGATTCATTAACTCTATAATCATGCGCCGGGCACGTTGCCATGTGATCTATATTAGGAACCTCGCTGCTGCCTCCGGGCCCGAGACTGCAATCGACCCGTGATGTCCTCAGTTAACAGCAGAAATAATTACGACCGTGACAGATTTTGTGCATACCTGTGAATATACCCAGACGATGTACCGTCTGGTTCATTGTGTTGAGGCAAGACCTGACAACTCCGCCGCCAGAAAGGGCAGTGCAAACGCCGGTCGACATGGAGTGTGGAGCTGAGTCATATTCCTGACCCCAAAGTCTCGGTTATGCACAAAAATTCTGTTTCAGGCACAAGTCCACGATGCCAGGGTCTTAATCATAGCACAAGTCATTGAATCAGTGCTGTCAAGCAGCGTTTGTCTGTTAATGCAGATAGCATATGTGCACTCGTGCGGTTAGGAGACAGCTTGCCAGAGCAGTCTTGGCCTGCCAGTACAAGCATGCAGCAACAAAACAGAGGCCCGATTCAGTCCAGTATCCATGGTACACGGTCTGCGTACAGTCGCCACGGTTCCGAGTGTAGTTCTTGTGTCTCGTGCGCTGTTTCTAGCTGGTACAGGTGTCTGGAAGATTTCCCCGCTGTTGACACCGTCGAGAAAAACGTCCACTGTCGCTTGCCAGCAAACTGGGGCTCCTGTCACTTTGCTTGTGTGCACGGTGGCCGTGTGTGAGGGATTTGGATCGGCTACTGCTGGAAACGGATCTCTACTGGGTCCGACCGAGTGTGTGGCATGGCTTTCAATGCTTCGCGACAACCTGTGCAAAGCTGAATGTTGCTTAATTCTTTGCAGTCGACTTGCTCGTCCACGAGATCTTCAATCGGAAGTTGTTCGCAGCAGCTCGCAGGTCTCTGTCGCAGCAGAGACTCGCCGAACGTCCTTGATGTCTGAACATTTGCGCAGTGGAATACTTTTCAGCAGCACCTAAGGATTCGCCGAATTGGCGTCGTCTGCCAAGGCCTCGTTGGTACAGACTCTTCTATAGGGCAGGCCGGTCATAGGAGACTGCGCCATGCAATTCCTGGCCCACCGCAGCAACTGTGAACACGCAGACAGGCCGATGCCGAAAGCCTGCTCGGAAGCAGCCAGCCAAGGAGACCGGCGCCGCAGGCAAGGACATGCAATCACGTGCGTCCGAGTGCTGCTACACTCAAGTATATGTTATGCCAAATGCTTATCTTCTCATGAGGACACCTCTACACAGACACCTGTCTTGTGGACTGCCTGCGAGCCCACGGACTCAAAGTCCCTTATACGAGCCACGGTCCTTTCTGGGCCATCGCCGACGGATGCCGGTTCACCGAGCCGTTCGGGATGCTTGGTTTGCATCTACTTGCTACATGTACAGAACATCCTTCAAAACATTAAGGAAAACGATCAGGCACGCGACACCAGCAGAGTTCAAGATGGGTGGATCGTACATCATGGGCCATTCGTGCCATTTCATCGCAATGCGGATGGACGTCGACGACGGGCTACAGGTGAACCTGACGCACAAGCGCCACCGCCGGCAGTCAGCTATTCTGGTACCTTACCTCCAGGCTCGGTGCCACTTCCTTTCTGGGCTTGTCGCCCTCCTGGCCCTGTGCTTCCGCCGAAGGTTCCCATGCTCGTCTGTTCCCTCACTGGCCACATACTGGTCAACCCGGACAAAGCGCATGCCTTGTTCGCAATTGAGGCTCGCAGCCCGTCATGTGCGTGCGCAAACAGAGGCTTGCTATGTAGCCCAGGCCTGAAATCCGAACTTCAAGCCGTTGAGCAGCTTTGTGCAGGATCGCAGGAACATGGCCGCCCAGGAGCCATTGGACGTTAAGGGTGGCAGTGCCGGTCCCTTCACCCCGTTTCCGATTCTTGGATAAACTTATTGAGCATGCAATGCAATCTCCTGTGAAGCAATGGCAACTCACGTCCTAGCACTCACATTCCGTGCTTCAGGCATTACCCGCTTCCCTCACTCGACGACATTCCTGAGTTCAAGGCATTCAAGGACATATATCTATATTAATTACAAGAAATAGGAGGCGGTGCCCGGTGTCGCAATGTACGTTGCATCTTACCCAGGAGAGCAACGAGCAGCGCCGTTCCATCGTGACAGAGAATACTTCTCGGCAGAAGGCGTGAGTTCGTTGGCCCGCCGCAGTCTCTTCCAACTTGCTGCGAGGGCAGTGCCCTCTACTGAGGTGGCATCGTCCAGCGCCGGCGCGACGGCGAAGGAGACACCTGCACGTTTCACACACGAAGGAACAAGCTTCGAGGTGACAGCTGCCGGTTGATGGCATACATACCTGGACATTGGTTTGTAGGGGTTTATTTTGGTTTCCTACTTTTTGTGTGCACAAAATGGTTTTGAGGAGGATTTGGTTTCTTTTTGGCCTGGGAAACTAGTTCTTGAAAATGCTGGTCCAAAGCATAGTATGTGTTGGCCAAATCATGGGTACACACATGTACACGTACGCATACACACCAAGATATACAAGGATTATATATGTCGCATGGCCATGCTGCACTTCATGACAACATAAACACATGTTTCAGGTCGAATGCATAATAACACACACACACACAGTGGAGAGAGACGAGAGTGCCTCTGTTACACTTGCTTGTTTCGCAAATGCAGATGGATCAAGATTCTATATGTGTGTCTCGAGCAGAATGAAGTGTGCTTGCTTCGAAGATGGATGAAGATTCTGTGGGTACCCCCATTCGAATGAGCTGTTCTGCAACCCTGCTTGCTTCGCAAATGGATGAAGATTCGAGATACGTGTCTCTAGCCGAATGATCTGTTGTGCAACCCTGCTTGCTTCGCAGATGGATGAAGATATATGGGTGTCTCCAGCCATGATCTGGTCTGCTCACAGTTCTTGTGCTTTTTGGGTGTGGTGAAGCATGCATGCATATGGGTATCATGTTCCATATTGGGCCGTAAGAGATCTGATATATCATATGTATATATATATATATATATACATATTATATATATATATATATATGCATGATTGTCTGCATTTCAAGTTTGCTGGCAGTGCAGCTGAGCAAGTGCAGTTGAGATCTTGGGTGTTTGATTGCAGGTGTGTGACCAGCATCGGACATGTTCTCAAACCATGCATGAGCAAGCAGAGCCATTGATGCACTTCGGTCTTGGCAGAATCACTCTTCTTTTCAATGGATTTTTTGCGCTTGTATCCAAAACAGAATAGCATTCAGTTAAGTACAAGATGTGAGTCAGCAAATCCACAGTGCTCTCTGTGTGTGCATGGTGCTGATGGGGGCCTGGAGCCCAGCATTGTTCAAAGTAGCTGTTGCTCTTGCTGGTCAATGTTAAAGCTTCTTGCAGCTTGTGCTTTCAGCCCGTGTCTTCTGCTGGCAGCTTCTGGCTTTTGTTTAGCTTTTCCGAGCTGTTCCTTTTTGTTTCTGGGTTCCCATGGAGCCGGGACCGATCGCGGAGACGGATGATGGTCCTTCGCAGAGGCTCCTGGCCATGCTGGTGAAGGATGTGATGAAGGCCAGTGCACTGGGAGTCTGTGTCATCAGAAGGGGCGGTATTCTTCCAAATGGTCATTGCTGTTCAGGAGTGGGATGAGATCCCATCCATGGCTTCCTTGGCCATGAATGATAAGTGTTTTGTTCAATGGCCGGCTGATGCGAAAGGGCAGAAACGCATCCCAACCGCGCTGGCTTGCAAATTGAATGAAGTGCCTTGGCACCTACCCTATTTCTTCGTTCAATGTAGAACCCCAGTTGTTCCGTACATAGGGATGCCTTTCCAAGGCAATGCTTGCTCCGATCGTGGGCCGCAACCTGCAGCATTACGCCCTGCTGTATGTGAATGTCTTGGAATCCATGATGTCTTCCTATCGTGTGCAGATCAAGGTGGGTCAGTAGCATGGTAATATACTTGGTGGTGGGAGTTCTGCATGTGCTTGCTTTTGACTGGGTTATCTCGCCTGCCATGCAGATGAGACACCTCAATGTCGCGAAGAAGGAGGTGCTTTGTTATTGTAGGACAGACGGAGACTATGATATTGGGGTAAAGGTTGGGGTTGAGCATTTGCCAGGTGAAGATCGATGCAGCATGCATCAATCCAGATGCTCATGGCATCAAGGCACTGGTGTGTTGCCATCGCCGATGCTCGTCATGGACTCATGTGTTGAGGATATATGAACATACATGTTTATGTAAATATACATATATTTACGAACAGGATACCACTTTCCCATGCATGTACATGAGTCCACGTCTTTTCTCTGCTCCCAGTCTTGAATACAGATATGTGAACTACAATGTGTATACATATACATATGTATATATATATATATATATATCAAAAGCATATAAATATGCATGTTATATATATATATATATGTGTGTGTCTACATATGTTGTTGATAAACAAATATCATATACATAAGTATGTCTATCGGTCGATGGATAGATATGCTTATCATCTTGTGGCCATATTACAGCTTGCATGTCACTGCACAGAAGTGTATGCCATTTATCATACGTGGGCAAAGTAATACATCGGCTGTGCACACACAGAGGGACAGGACTCGGAGTTTAAGGACTTGCTGATCGTTCTGATAATCAGCGAGATGTGGATGTGCAGAAGCTGACTGAGTCACAGCTGCATTCGGACATTTATGCACTGGACTTGCATCGTTTTCTCATGCATGCAGTTGTGGTGTGGGATAAATGGGTTTTTAAGGTGAGGCTTCGAGAAGTGGCACACAAGATGGAGGCCAACGAGTTGCCCTACGTCATCAAGATTTGCAGCGGTATGGATCCGGAATCGCTGGAGGTGCAGAACCGCACTCGGGCCATTTGGAAGAAAAGGAAATCTGCTGAGGCCTTTCCTGAGGAGCGCCATGAGTTGCCATTGGCGAATGCAGATGAAGGTGCAGTGGATCTGCCTGCGATTGCAGGTGCGGGAGCTCCGCCTGCTGAGCCTGAGCAGGAGATGCCTCCGCTGATGGATTCGCTGCATCGTGAAGTGGCAGATGAGGCAGTGGAATTTCCGCCTGTCCAAGATGCCCAAGAGTATGTGATGCCGGACACCTTCACCCAGCCAGATGATGAGCTTGAGTTGGATGGTGGATGTTTGGATTCCCCAGCGGCTTCGAGCAGTGACCCTGCCCCGGCGGCTTCGAGCAGTGACCCTGCCCCGGCTTCGCGCAGTGAGCAGCTGGAGACTGTCCATGAAAGGTTTGATCGCCTCTCACGGCTCTATGGCTATGGTGCAGCCTTGATGCTGTGTGGGGCTGTGCAAGAGGGTGCTCACTACGATCCCTATGTGGGCCAGTGGAAGACATTGGATGGTTTGGTGTGCCCTTATATGCCTGCGACAGGATCTTCCGCTGAGCATGAAGAGATGCCGGTGGTGCCCGAGATGCGGGTGATGCCAGAGCCGGTTGCAAGTGGTGGGCATGGCCTGGATGATCCCATCTTTGGGGACATCAGCGTTTCGTCAGGTTTGCCTGAGACTCCGAATGCCGCTGAAGCAGCTCACGATGCAGCAGAGGAGTCGCATGCAGGTCACGTGCATGTGCTTGGAATAGATTTTGGTGGAATACAGATGCATGCATTCAGACAGTTTGAGTCTTGCTGTGCTTCAACATGTGTTCGTGCAGACATGCTGTGTTGTGCAATTGTTCCCTCTCTCTCTCTCTCTCTCTCTCTCTAACTATCTCTTGCTCTGTCTCTCTCACTCTTTCTTTACCGGTATATGTAGTTACAGGTATGTATATATATATATATATATATCAGTTTCTGTATTTGTATAGACATATGTCATATATAACCTCGTTTGGGTATCTCTTGAAAATGCATATAAACTCTATACAGCATAGTGCATACATACATATGTAGCATTTCTATTACTGTTTGAATATTACTGTATATATGTATATATATGTCTACACAGCATACATACTTATTTATAAATGTATATATATATATGTATATATATATATATGCTGTCCATAAATGAACAAACCCGGAAGTGCATCGAGACCAGTTGGATTTGTTCATGTTGTCTATCTTGCATATATATATATATATGTATATATTATAGATATATGTGTCATCTTTCTTCAAAGTTTGTCATTACAGGCATATGTTTTGTGCTGATAGTTGCATGCTGCATTGGAGCACATACACACAACATCTTAGTCAGTAAATCTGCATACATGCATGACCCATGCATGTGCACATCGTATCCGTTGTCACTGGTTGCTCATCTTGAGGCCCAACATCTGTGGATGAGGTCAAGCAGTGCCTTCTCGCGAAGTTGCATGCGCAACGAGAGAGGACAGTGGGTTGAACATTGCAAGTCTATTGTGGTGTGTCATACTAGATGCAGGAATTTTGATTATATGGCTGCATAGGATCATGCTTGGATCCATGGTGGATAATGTGGACACCTGTCCGATGCTTCCTGCTGAAGCCGGTGCTCCATGGCCATCAATGTCATTGATTATTGAAATTTGGAAATTCGGTTGAGTGCTTCTGAATGCTGTGGCATAGCTGAGGAGAGTTTGGAGAGACAGAGGTTGCTCAATGGCTCCTCCCGCGAGGTGGCAACCCTGAACTTGCTGTGTAATTTTATGCTAGACCATCAAACACCTAATTTGCGAGTGCTGCTAGAGGCCTTCCCCAGCCAGATCACCATCGAGGACACACCGGAGCATGGCAAGCCGATCCTTGCCTTCAGCAAGCATCTTCATATATGCATGATGATGAAGCATGAAACTTAACTGAAATGTGCCATGCCTCTTGCAATACCATGCCTGCCTACTGGAGAGATTTGCAGAGTGGTTCGTCTTTCTTCCATATGTAACAGTTGCGCATACAAGTGCTCAAATCGCATTGCTATCATATGACTGTGTAGCAACAGTGGGTCCAGAATAAAAGGGACCAGTAGACAAGACCGATACGGAGTTAGAGGAGTGGGGAGAACTGTAGTGTAACATATACATATATAGATATGTGCATGGTCTGATCACACTTATATATGGGTGCTATTTCTGAGATGAGCATAAACTGGATCTTCAAAGCAACATCCTTGTGTGTGTACGCGGTTCTATATGTTGTGCATGTGTCCTAAGTTTGGTTCAGTGTCACACTGGGAAGTCAAATCAGGTTCAATGTGCCGATCGGAGTCTACATCGAATGATAGCTTGTGTATATATGTATACACACATATATATACATACACATATATATATAGATACATATATATATATGAATATTTATTCATTCGGAATAGTGTCATATAGATAACCTCACTAACTGTATTTGTTGTTTACGAGGGGCCGCTTTGTGGTTTATTGAGATATGCCTCGAGACTTCCCATGTGTGCTGCATGGTTGCTACATGCGAGGCTGAGTCTGTGCAGCATATGTGGCATTTCGCAAGATTGCCTTATGCTCACTCCATTTATCTCTCTATAGATATATATATATATATATGGTTATATCGCCTTCTCTTTCTAGTGTAGAAAGATATGCAAATAAGTATCCAACCAGGTTATAAAGATGAGTCTGTTTCTCTATAATAGAAGTATATGTAGATGTGCTTATGGGTATCAGAATATTGATCCAGTCACAAACCTATTCATATGCATACATTCATCACACAGCTTTATTTGTTTCTAAACTTAATATCGCTGTATCAGCATCCATATCTAAGCTTAAATAGATAAACACACACATATAACCATGTATATATATATATACATAAATATATATGTAGAATACAGATATAACATATGTTACATGTAGGTATATGTAATATATTGTATATACATATATATTATTACATGTACACTGTGTTTCATTTGCTTGTCCCGAGGGATGGATGTGAGAGTGATGATCCGGACCTGACGCAAGTGGATGCGACCCGGTTCTATGATGAGGACATGCTTTGCAGGGCCACCGAATGGAAGGAGGGGGATATTCAGGAGCCATCCTCCGGCATCCACCGATCTTTGGCGATGGACTTTGATGCTGTGTATCAAGGGCAGCATGATGTGTTGAGCCGTGCTGCTGCTCCGATGGCTCCTGTCGAAGAGGCATCGTCATCGATGCATGGCCCATGCATGGAGACCTTGCTTGAGGATGCAGATGAGCCAAAGAGTGCAGAGGAGTCCCAGCAGGAGCCAGAGATTGCGGAGGAGCCCGAGCCGGAGATGGAGAGTGCAGAGGAGCCTGAGCCCAGTTCCGGGGTTTGTGGTCCTATGCCATTGGAGGTTTTGGCGCCAGAGCCATCGGTCCATGGAAGTGAGGCGGAAGATTTGCTGCAGGTGGAGGGTGAGGCATTCGACCACCAGCAGCAGGTCGAGCTGCGGCAGAAGTTGCAGGAGAAGAATCGCGCTCGCGGCGGAGGTCGCGGTCGCTCCCGTGGCCGTGGCAGGGGCAGGGGTCGAAAGGCACCGCCGCCCAGTGAAAATGATGAAGAGAATGAAGAGTTGGTAACTCCGAATGCCAGAGGGGCTGCAGTGCCAGAGGAGACACCCATGGACAAGGCTTGCAGGACGAAGCGCGGTGCTGCCTCGGAGGAGCCTGTGGAGCCCAAGCCCAAGCGGGCGAAGGCAGCAGCGAAGAAAGGGGCGGCCAAGAGAATGATGAAGCGACCAGCTGCAGCCAGACGCATTGCTGAGGAGCAGCCCGTCCATGCTGAGGCAATCGTGCCTGAGGCAAATGGTGCAGAAGCTTCCATGCCTGATGCAGATGGGATGACCGAGCCAAGTGTGCCAGAGCCGTTGGATGATGCAGAGCCTGAGCCAAGAGTGGTTGAGCCGTTGGCTGATGCAGAGCCTGAGCCCAGAGTGCCTGTGCCATTGGCTGAAGAGCCGGAGGAGGCACCCATGGGTGGTGATGGGCATGAGGATGTGCCGGACGAGGTGGTGCCACCTCGCGGTCGTGGTCGTGGCCGTGGTCGCGGTGCCAAAGGCCTTTCCGAGGAGAATCGCAAGATTTGCAGGGCGCTGCTTGTCTGCTTAAAGTGTTGTGCAAGCTGTTGTTCACCAGATGTGCATTTTCTGTTTGCTCGACATATTAATACATATCATATCATATCATATCATATCATATCATATAATATCATATCATATCATATCATATATATATATATATTTATAACCTACATATATCTGTATGTGTATACAAATCATATTCAGAGTACAGAAGGGGGAAGTATATCATTGCAGAACCGCTATAGTCCTTTACAAATATATGACCATGTATAGTACAATATGTATATGTATATATATATAGTAATATATATATATATATATATATCTATATATATCATGTAGTCCTTGATATGTGGAATATAGAGCACTATACATCACATCATGTTTATGCATCTATATATATATGCAAGTGTTATCGCTCTATGGACGATTGACGCCTTTGTCCTAGCAGCTTGAAGCAAACATTGAGGAGTGTATGTATAATAGGCATGTAACACGTGTCTGTGTATGATATGAACACACAGATATACAAGCACACAAGTACATGCATATATGCAAATGTGTGCTTACACATGTGCCCAAATGTATACATGCAGACATGATTTTCTGGCCATGCAAGTATATTCTAGACATCGGCATGAGCAGACATACACATGTGCGTGCACCAAGACATAGACACATGTATGCATTGACCCACCCCTGCATGCAGTCATTCATGCAGGCATTCAGGGAGTCATTGATATTCAATGCTGTTCGTGCATTCAGCCGTGCACTCAAATAATCAGAAATTTGATTCATTCATTTGTGTGTTCCTTCGTTCAATCCTCATATATCTTCAAGGTGGTGCATGGGTTTTCTGCTCTGGGCATCTTGTCCTATAGAAATATATGTACACATGTCATATACTGCTTATGTTTGTCTAAACAAAGCCTTGTCCCTTTGCCCGACACCAATCATGTGGACTGAGATGTTTCAGCTGCTTCTGCGCAGTGTGTCATGTATGCAGGGGGGGAGCTGAGTCGTCGCTGGCCTACGTGATGTGATCTGAGCATCTATATCTCTACATGTAGATATACAGTGACATAGATATTCATATATATATATATATAACGTATCAATATATATATATACATTTATATATATCTATATTTACATACATCAAAATCAGACAGAAGTCTAGTCCAGCATGTAACCTTCACACCTGCATCTCTTCTGATCTGCACTATATATAATGTGTACATATATACATCTACTATAAAGACATCCAGCAAGACATATACGCATACAGTCGTATAGCACATAAGCATAAAATCAATCATATAAATATGTGTATATATATATATATATATATAATATACAAGCATGCATCAACATGCAAAGCATTAGCAATGTGCTGATCCAGGTGCTGAGAGTCTGTGTGTTACAATGTTGCAGGCTGGTCCAGCATGGGCGGAATTACAAGCTGGAGCTGTATTGGACCAGGAGTGTGATCGGAGTTCGCCAGAAGAATGGCCCACAGGTCTGGAGCATGAGCTTCAAGAATTTGAAGGTCGGCATCCTCGTGGCCAACGAGATTGTGCCCTGGTTCAGATGCAATATGTAGTGAGATGCTGATCTGAAGAATGGGTAATCCCAATCATGTGTTGATTGTGAACTGCTCAGGTCTCCCTGTTGGATCGTGATATGAACATCCATGGTGAGGAGATGACGAATACCATCAGGAACTTCCGTTCAGAGCTTGAGGAGCAGTATGGAGAAGTTTGGCCGTGAGCAAAGCTCATGTGAGCCTCGATTTTCACATGGAGGCAAAGGCATGTCTGTTCTATCCAGGCCCACGGGCCTTCAAGTAAAGTGGTCTTTGAAAGCAGATGGTGACTGAACATGCCTGGACCTTCAGATGGAGGAATGGCATTCTGTAGGGATAGTGCGGCTGTGGTGACACCCAACAGGGGAGGCAAGACCAGGCCAGCCTGTAGACCTTGCCCGCTTTTGAACCAGTGGTTTTACGACTGACTGGAGGGTACTGTGGTGTGCATAGCTTGCAAACCTTACATGCCAGATGGGGCCCTCCATATGACTTCGCAGATCTTGATGTGTGCTCGGAAAGAAACAGCTGAGTGTAGTAGCATTTTTCAAAGCTTCAGTTCATGTGCATTCAGCCCATCGAAAAGAGTCAGTGCAGCTCACATGTACAAGTTCATTGGTGTGGTGAGGTCTCAACCAATGCCCGGCAACAAGCGGCTGCTGAAGCTAGCTTCTTTGTCGGATACAGGTGCGCTGGGATTTGCAACCGGTTTGCTCGATTGCCAAACTGCTCGGGGACAAGAGACATAATCACGGTGGTACTGCATGCATCTGTGGTGCTGCTACAGGAGCTGATGACCGGAAGAATGCCCTGTCACAAGGCTCGCCATGTCTTTGGATTCGGGGGATGATGGGACAAAATCCGTACCTCCGTGTGCATGTGTGATTATCGACTTGCTGCTGTTCTATAGGTTCCATGCATACACTTGGTATGTGTTTGTATTTCGGACTTTTACCAGTGCTAGCTCAGTATGAAGCAGATGTGCATACGTAGCATTACACATACATCTTGTGTGTGTATATATATAGTATATGTGTATGTATTTGGATCTGCATGTGAATGTCTAGGTATTGCAGATAGTTGTTGCTGGGATGGAACGATGTGTGCAGTCACTATATAGGTGTTCTAGGTGTTCTATCGATTTCTGGTAGGTATAACTATATATATATACATATATATATATATATATATATGTA